ATCTCATCTGCATAGCTGAGACCCTCATCTCAGAAAAGCCAAATAGAGTCATAGATTGTGTCAATGCCTCAATGGTAGAAGTTACTTTTCCAATGTCAAATGCCAGCGGGCTCCCACAATTCCCCCTTTTTTATTATATTTAGAGCAGGGAGCTTCCCAGCTCAGCAGAAAGACTGTGCCTGTCTTAGGTGAGAAATGTCCAGAGAAATCCCTTACCCGTCATCAAGCCATGAGAAGTTCAATACTCATGCTCTGTCTTAGGTTGGATATTTCTCCACAATTCTCTTACCCGTCTTTGACTACCAGCCTCTGCAGGGGTTATACCATGGGTTGTGAAGGCTTGCCATGTAGCTTTTTCTACCTCTATCAATATTTGTAATCCTTGTTCCTCATACCAGGACTCATTAATTTTTACAGGCATCATTACAAAGAGAGGTTGTCTCAAACCCATCACAGAATGAAAGGAAGTCACCATTTCTGAGAATATACAATTGGTCAATTGACAATCAATATTATCAGTTTCATAAACAATCTCTATGAGCATTAACACAAGACATTATATTAGAGGCCTCTATGCCAACAATATTGAAACTAAGGCTAGTAACTTTGACATCTGACCATAAATGTATTTTTCCCAATGCAGCAGGTTTCCAAATGTTGGTTTGAGGAAAACCTGAATCTGTTTACCAAAGTCCTGCAGATAAGCTTAAGTTTGTGGAATTTAGAAGTGACCAGTCCAAAAACTTTTGAGATGTCTCATTAAATCACCAGTCCCATTAAATCCTCATTCTGGATAAAGAAGGAAAACCTTTTTGCTTTTTGGAATGAAATTTCCACTTGTGCACTGAGACACATCCTGGAGTTTTCTCTGCTGCTTCAGTGTTGGGGTCCCAATCCAGTCTCCTCAGTGGAAACCCAGCTTCAAGCTGCTCAAGGATAGTGATAGGTCTATAAACATATCTGTAACCATAATTAGGTGGAACAGAAGAAAAGGGAGAACACCTAGACCAAAAGGTTATTGTCATAAACAATATGTTGGAAAACCTGCATGGTCAAACAATATGAATACATTTTGTATACCAGAAAAGTAGCAATAATAATACTTATATGAAATCTTATGTACTGTAATGTAGCTTTGTATTAACAGGATCTCCCCCCCCCTTTTTTTTTACATATTTAACAAGACATATCTTTTTTATAGGGCTATGAAAATTATTTTGGTGGCTCCCATTAGTGAACAAAGATCAGAATAAATTTTCTGAGCAGCTGCTTCTTTATTTACCAACAGGAGCATATCCAAACTTAAAGGTTATATTTAATTATCTTTTAAGTTTTTTATTTGATCCTATAAAGCCAGGTTGTAGAAATCAACAATCTATTTGTATTTGACGTCATTCTGATCAAGAACATACAAACATCTTTGAACATTTAAGACAGACAAACATATAAGACAATTTTAATGAGTGCACTCAGATGGTTTTGGCCAAATGAATTATAAAATCTTTTTGTTATGACTAGTCAAAATTTTTGCAGATCAAAATTAACAGAGATCTCTTGTAGAATTAGGGTTAAAGGAACGAATACTCTTCTTGACTATAAATGTAAACCTTTTATAACAAACTTGAAACCAACAAGCAAACATTTTATAAATCATTTCCATAAACATTCTCTACATTCTTAGGTAAAGACAAGAGGAACATACAAAAACCTTTCATGTTAAAAGTACAACTCTTACTTATAGCTTTTCTAATATTTTTCTGTCTCATTTACTATTAAACAAACTTTAGCTACGAAATATTGACATAAGGTAGGGCTATTGGCCATGCCCTGAGGTAATACTTTCCACAGCGGGAGGCAAAATGGCCGGGCTGGCCGCATTGAAAGCATGTTTTACCCCTGTTTTGGCCTTGGAAGGCGACAAGGGCCTTAGTGATCTTGTGCATAAAAGGATCCGCCTCTGGGCAGAGATTAATCATGTCGTGCAGAGTTTTGGCTTTGGAGTTGTGTTTTAGAATAGCTCTGCAGGTCTCATTAGCATTTTCAAAGGCTAATTGTCTAATGAGGGCGTTGTCTGCCACAGTGGCGGCATCACCGAGGGCACGCTCAGCCTCGGGGCCCTGGATGATCTTTGAGAGAGGTGCTGCCGTGCTGATCAAAGTAGTCAGCGAGCTCGCGACCAATCTGGTCCCATGTGGAAGGCACAATTTTGGGGCAGGTGATAACGAACCAGGGACATACTTCGTGTACAAACAGCAGAAATTGCAAGAGATCTTTCTTTCTAACTTCAATATTACGGTTTTTCAACTGCTTTTTTATATCAGAGATAAATTTAGCTCCTTCACTAACTGCGTTCCCCCTATTCTCGGGGAACTTTGGGACGGCGGCTGTGCCTTAGCTAAGATTTGACTAACCCCAACCCTGCACCACCCGGATGGGGCTTACCTGGTGTCTGACGGGCGGGCTCCGGTCGCGTCGTCTCTCTGCCGTCCGATCGGGAGTCGGTAACCTCTGTAAACCACGTTGGGCGCCAGTTGCGGCTCTCTGGGGGGACCCCGTCCCGCGGGGAATAGGAGGTGAGAGCCGCCTCTTATTCGTGGGTCCAGAGGCCGATTTCTGATCAAAGGCGCTTTATTGGCTCAGCAAAACGATTATATACTGTTATCCCAGGGGGAGGGTTCAGCAAGCTTATTGGACAGCTCAAGCAAATCCTCTACCAATCACATGAGTCATTCAAGCATTTAACCATACAGCAATCAGTATTTTACCAAATGTGGGGAGGGGTAAGTGCACAATCCCTAGGGGCAAGTAGGACGGGGAAAATACCACCTGCTTCCTGCTCCAGATCCGGTGACCCTGTGGTTAGCACAAAGGGCTATTTTTTCTGTAAGATTTCCTGTTTGCCCAGGGGCTAGACCTGCCAAAGGTCACGTATGTAGTCTAGTGGGTTTTCTCCACTGAGGCAAAGGCTAAGGTTGAGGGCAGTCATCTTATGCAGGCCCAAGCAGTCTCTCACAACCACTGAACTAAATCCTTGGCCCAGGAGTCTAATATTTTTAGGTTAGAATTTTAGCTCCTTATTTACATCATGATTTCTGCTAAATCCTTGGCCCAGGAGTCTAATATTTTTAGGTTAGAATTTTAGCTCCTTATTTTGACATCATGATTTATTTTGTTGATTGTATAAATTAACTTAAATCAAAGAATCAGAGAAAAATGTTTTCATAGTTCATATACATTTATTATATATGCTTATATAAGTTAAGACAAACAAACATCTGGGGAAGCATATATACCGTACCAACTAGACTGCAGGAGGAACAGAAAGGGAGTAATTCATATATTCATATAATTAAATAACAAAAAATGTTACTGAATGTTGAAAAAGTTTTGAAGCTTTTGTTTCTGTGGAGACAGGTCTTTATTTCTTTTTATTTGGGGTTTTTTGTTGTTGGTTTTCTTTTCTTATTTTTTTTTTCCTTTTTTTGGTATAAAACCCATGGCTTTTGCACTTAGCTATAAATTTTGAGACAGGGTTGCTCTAAGTTTCCGAGGCTAGGTACAAACTTGCAGTGCTCCTGCCTTGGCCTCCAAGAGTGTTTGGATTATAGCCATATCCACCATGGCTGGCTGAGATAGTTTCTTGAAAGGAAACAAAATTGAAGCTGGAAATGTACCTCAGTGGTAAATAGCTTGCCTAGGCTATGTAAAGCCCTGGGTTTTTGCCCCAACACCACGTACACACACACACATTATATCAAATATTTTAAAAAAGTTCTGCGGATGTAGCTCAGTAGTAAACTGCCTGCCTAACAAGTGCAAGGCCCTGGGTTCAAAAAAGAAAAAAAATGCCCGTTAAAAAAGTCATATCTTTTTATTGCCATGACAGGTTCACATCTTTTACTTTTGTAAAAAAAAATTAATTACTATACATAAAAACATATGTTTGTTTCATCAGCAAGTGATCCTGTGATAGAAATTTGGAATCCTCCTGCATCACAGCATAGCTCCGAGTTTTTAATAACCCATCCCCTGTAGGCAGAAGCAAAACTGAGTAGAATGCCCACTTCTTTACACAAAGATTTAAGAGCTATGCATTTGGAATTGACGATTTGCTCTGTTTTATCGGACACAATTTTTAGAGATATATCAAGTTATTTTTAAATCTACTTTGTCTTAGTCACTTTCTCATTACTGGGACAAAATACCCGACACCTGGAACTTAAAGGACAAGAGGTCTATTATAGTCCATATTTGGCTGGCTCCAGGGTAGGGACAGATGGCAGAGGGGCACGGCAGAAGAAAAGCTGCTCCCCTTATAGCCAACAGAAGGCAGCGAGGAGAAGAGGACCTGGGAGGGAGATATAATCCTCCCAGGCCACACCCCAGTGACCTGCCTCTTTCACCCAGACGCCACCCCCCAGCACCAAGCTAGCTGTAAGCCCCATAATCTAATCACCTTCCTAAAGCCTTGCCTATGAGCACAGGAGGTTCTTGGGGGGGAACATCTAGAAATAATAGCTTCTTGAAATTTTCAAGCAGTAATTTATTCAATTTATTTAGTGAGTATTTGAATACCCTGAATGTACCAGATACTGTTCCGTAATTAGGAGTATAACAGTGACCAAAGCAAAAACATTCTGCCTTAATGGAGCTTACTTTTTAGTGGGGGGAAAGGGATCACAATAACTAACAAAA